CTAAAGAGTGTGCAGGAGAAGATTGACCTGGCTGTATACATACACAAGTTATTAATGGTGACAGCACAGGCAGAGAGAGTTGCTAATAAGGTATAACGTAATCTAGGCTTCATAAACTGAAGTACAAGAGCAGAGAGGTTATGACCAACTTATATAAGACACTGGTTAGATGTCAACTGAGTATTAGAGTTCTTTGCCACATTACAGGAAGAATGTGAATGCAATAGAGAAAGTCCAGAAGAGGTTGACTTGAATGGTTCCAGAGCTGAGACACTTTCTTTATGAGGAAAGGTTTGAGAAGTTTCGAGTGTTTTCCATGGGCAGGAGACAGCTAAGAAGAGATTTGGTTTAAGTTTTCAAAATCACAAAATATTTGGCCAGGTTGGATAAGGAGAAACTATTCCCACTCGTAAATGGATCAAGAACCAGAGAGTACAGTTTTACAGTGTTTCATAAAAGAAGCAACTGGTTGTATTTATATAATCATGAAGTGTACAGGGCTAGAAGGAAAAAGACAGGAGGTTAACATTTAACCAAGTTAAAATGTTCAGAGAATCAGAACAGACATGATGGACCAAATAGCCTCCTGCATTGTAACATTTTAATGATTCTACGATTCTCAGGAGGTTACCATTGACTTGAAAATAAGCTGGACCAGCTACATAAATACTGTGACTACTAGAGCATGTCAGCGACGAGTTATTCTGCAGTGAAAAACTCAACTTTTGTCTCCCTGTTGCTGTCTACTCTTCACAAGGCACATGTAAGGAATGTGATGATATACCCTCATCAAGTGCATAGATAATTGAAGCTCCAACAACATTCAAGAAACTCAACTCTGCCATTCAGAAGTTCAACTCAACAAATCAGTGTTCCTGTACAGCATCCATCCGCAACCTTAAATAGTCACATCCTCCACCATTGAAGCACAGTGGCAGTGTATGCACCACCTACAAGTTGCACTGAAACAACTTCCAAACCAGTGGTCTGTATCACATAGAAGAACAAGGGCAGCAGATAGATGGGACCACCACCACCTATATATACACCCCTCAAAGGTGTACACCTGGCTTGACACTATATCATTGTTCAATCACTATCACAGCAACAAAATATGGAAATTCCTTCCTATTAGCAGTCTGTTCATAGAATGTTTACAGAATAATTTCTGACAACAGCGCATTCTCAAGCCAACCAGAGAGCAGGCTGTGCTAGATCTGGTATTGTGCAGCAAGAAAGGATTGATTAATGACCTCATTGTAAACGTGTCGTTGGGTATCAGCAATCATAATACAATTGAATTTTCTATTCAGTTTCCACAAGCGAGTCCAAGATTAGTATTTTAAACTTAAATAAGAGCAATTATGAGGACATGAGAGCAGATCTGACTAAAATGTCCTGACAAATTCGATCAATATAGATGCAGTGCTAGACATTTAAAGAGACATTTCAGAACGCACAGTATAGATATACGCCTATAAGAAAGAAAAACTCCAAAAGGAAGACTACTTCGTGTAGTTAAAATGATAAAAATAAGCATAAAGAGAAAGTATATAATTGTGCAAAGGTGGATGGCATCGAGAAGCTTGGATAGACTATAAAAACTGGCAAAGATTAATTAAAAAAGTAATAAAGAGGGCAAAATCAGAGAGCTTGCTAGCTAATAATATTAAAATGGATAGTAAGAGTTTCTATGGTTCAAGGAGGAAAAGGGTTAATAAAGTGAATATTAGTTCTTTAAAAAGTGAATCTGGGAATTTAATAACAGAAAATGTGGAGACAAGTAGCTAAATTGAAAGGTTATTTTGCTCCTGTGGAATTCATTACCACAAGAAGTAGTTGACGCCAAAATATTGAATGTATTCACGAGGCGACTGGATATAGCATTTGGAGCAATAGGACCAAAGGTTATGAGGAGAAAGCAGGATTAGGCTATTGAGTTGGACGATCAGCCATGATCGTGAAGAATGGCGGAGCAGGCTCAAAGGGCCGAATGGCCTCCTCCTGCTCCTATCTTCTATGTTTCTACTGGTCTTTAGTGCAAGGGACATAAATAACATCTCAGAATTATCCATCACAGAAATATCTATCAATCAGGAAGTTGAAGTGATAGAGAATCTCAAAAAAATTACACTTACCAGGATAGTCATCCTGAGCAAATTGTTGCAGGCCGACAAGCTCCTGACTCCTGATGGACTTCATCCTTAGCTCTTAAAAGAAGTGGCTAGTGAGATAGTTGATGCATTGGTTTTACTTTTCCAAAACTCCTAAATTTAGGGAAGGTTCTCAACTTCTCCTTCTGCCTGAGTGTGCTGACCTGCAGGTTAAACCACCAATTGTCTCCCTCTAATGAGAGAGCAGTCCTATGGTCCGCTAGAACTATGGCAACTTTACCTTTTTACCAGTAGAATGGAAAATAATGTTATGTACCTCCTTTATTCGGAAAAGGAAGGAGATAGAAAGCAAGAATCACAGGTCAGTTAGCTCAACAGTGAAGATATTAAATATTATTAAAGGTGTTCTAGCAAGACACTTTGAAAAATTTAAGGTAATCAGGCAGTCAACAGTTTTGTAAAAATTAAAACATGTTTAAACAGTTTATCGGAATTTTTAAGGAAGTAAGATGTGCTGTCAATAAAGATAAACTGGTGGATGTGCTGTTCTTCGGTATTCAGAAGGCATTTGATGAGGTGCAACTTCAAAGGTTATTGTAGAAAATAAAACCTGATGGGCCAAGGCTGACCTAAAGATGAAAGAAGATTGGCTAGCTAACAGGAAACTGAAAGTAGGCATGGGTGGGTCATTTTCTGGTTGGCAGATGTAACAGGCAGTGTGCCACAGGGATCAGTGTTAAGGCCTCAACTTTTTACAACTTATAGAAATGACTTGGACAAAGGATCAGAGTTACGATTGCAAAATTTGCATGTGACACAAGGATTAGGTAGGAAAGTAGGCCCTGAAGAGGGTGAAGAAGGTACAGAGGATAGAGATAGGTGGAGTGAGTGGGCAGATATCTGGTGAATTGAGTATATAATGTGGTAAATTTAAAGTATTGGCAAAGATCTGTAGCTTGGGTTGTGGATGAGGTTGTTGACTTGCTCCCGAGATGGCTTGCTTTTGTTCAGACTTTTCGTCACCAAGCTAGGAGACATCATTAGTGGAGCCTCCGATGAAGCGATGTTATTCTACTCTGCTTGGAATTTATACTGTCCGGTCCGTTAAGGTGAGTACTATCATTTCCATTTTTGATTTGTGTGGGTTTGTATATGAATTCCCGTGCATGTCTATGTTTGGCTTGGGCTACTAGGGTTACTTTGTCCAGTTAAACTTGTCCCAGACAATGAAGGCCATTAGTTTACCTGGGACAAGGTAACCATAGTAGCCCAAGCCAAACATAGGCACGCACGGAATTCCTAGAAGCATGGTTCTCCACCCATACTTCAATCAACAAACATATAGAATTGGACCCCATATACAAACCCATACAGATCAAAACCGGAAATGACAGTATTCACCATAACGGACCGGACAGTATAAATTCCAAACGGAGTAGAATAACATCGCTTCATCGGAGGGCCCACTGATGATGTCACCTAGCCTGGTGACGAAACGTCTGAACAAAAACAAGCCAGCTCGGCGAGCAAGTCAACAGCCTCAATGTGGTAAAATGTAAAGTTGTCAATTCGGCAGGAAGACTGAAAAAGAAGCATATTATCTAAATGCTAGAGGTTGCAAATCTCTATAATGTAGAGGGATCTGATTGTCCTAGTGCATAAGCTGCAAACATTAGTATGCAGGTACAGTAATTAATTAGAAAAGTTAAGAGAATGTCTTGTTTATTGCAATGAGAATTGAATAGAAAAGTAGGCATGTTATGCTTCAGTTCCATGGACCACTTGTGGGGTATTGTGTACAGTTTGGTGTCCTTACTTAATCAGGGATGTAAAAGCATTTGGTAGCAGTTCAGAGAAGGTTGACTAGACTAATACCTGGAATGAGCAAGTTATCTTATAAGGAAAGGTTGGACAGACTGGGCTTATATCTCTGGAATTTAGAAGATTAAGAGGTGACTTGATTGAAACATGCAAAATCATTAGGGGTCTTGGCAGGGTGTTTGTGGAAAGAATGTTTCTTCTTGTGGGACACTCTAGAACTGAAGGTCACTAAAAGAGCCCCCCATTTAATACAAAGATGATGTAAAATTTTCTCCCCTGAGGGTTGACTGTTTTTGAAATTCTCTTCCCCAAAGGGGTGGTGGAAACAGAGTATTTGAATATTTTTATGGAAAAAATACATAAATGTTTGATTGACCGTGGGACAAAAAGTTGTTAGGTAGAAGGAAATGTAAATTAATCAGATCGGCCATGATCTTATAAAATATTGGAATAGGTTTGAGGGGCCAACTAGACAACCTCTGCTAATTGTTTGTATGTTTGTATAAACTGCAGAATTTCAAAAAGGCAGCTCACCACCAGCTTCTGAAGGGCAGTCAGTGACATGTAATAACCAGTGACCCCACATCAAGAAATACTTAAAAAAGTTTAGAGCCCATTAGTCTATTGTTAAATATCGCATGAAAAGGTTTACTCATTTTCTCTGCCATATTAAATAGTTGGCTTAAACTGCAACTCTCAAATGCATAATTTATTACAGATCTCTGTATAATTATTGGGTGATTTTACAGGTACAAATTTAAATGTCGTATACAGCCTATCAATTGAGCAGGCTTGTTTGTGAGTAGTTCAGGTTTTTCTAGCAGAAGCTACCTGTATAGTTCTACTTGGATTTCAAATATATCCATTGTTCTGAGGAAGGGTCACCAAACCCAAAACATTCACTCTGATGTTTACTTCACAGATGCTGCCAGATCTGCTGAGCATTTCCAGCAACTTCTGTTTTTGTTCCAAATATATCCAACTGCTTTGTTTTTGTCTTGCTTTACACCAGTAATTCTTTACGTCTCATGCAGATATTTTCTAATATATTTATTTTCTTCTCAGTATTCTGTCTGACAGAAGCAGTCTGAGAGATGCTGCTGGTTCATCCTCAACAGACGTCGATATCAATGTTCAGCGGACATTAGAGGACAGCCTAGCCATGGAGGCTTATGAGAGGAGGATACGACGTTTAGAACAAGAAAAACTTGAGCTGAGTCGGAAACTTCAAGGTGAGGGTTTAAAACAAAGCAACCTTCTGGTTTGTGACATTGTGAAACACTCTCCCTTGATGTCTGTAAAATTGTAATGCTAAAGCACACAGGAACTTAGGAACAGTAGTAGACTAGTTAGCACTTCTGATCTGTGTTCTATCTCCTTGTACCCTCTTGCCAATTTATTCCATAATCTATTATTTAAAATTCTTGAATTTCTCAGTTAAAGTGAATAATACATATAACATCAATTACAAACTTCTTTCACGGTTGACGTGTAGAAGTGTTTGTAAATTTTGCTCCTCTAAAAACCTACCTTTAATTTTTAGACTATGCCTCCTTGCCTTATATTTACCAATATTCTAATTGTGTTCTAGTCAGGGCTTTGTATAGCTAAAGCAGAATTTTACCCTCTTGTATTCTAGTCCTCAAGATAAAGCCTAGCATCCATTATTGCCTTTAGTTTGTTTTAATATTTGCCCGTGATATTTTGATGAGCTATGTACCTCAACCCCAGTCTGTCTTTGGATCTCCACTGCTTAAAGCTTTCACCATTTCACCAGCCCAGATTAAGAATAATTAACTGGAGAAAAACCAGCTTTAGTGGTGTGACAATGGATCTGACCCAAATCAACTGGAGTTAAAGATTAGCAGGCGAAAATGCATCAGAACAATAGCTATCTTTAGAGAATTGATAATTAATGCATGGACATGGTCTGTTCTCATGAATGTGAGACAAGCATATATAGAGCTTCCTGGATGATGAAAGAGATATGATTAAGATGAAGAAGAAGAAGACTGGCAGTCAGCATTTCAAAGGGAATGTAGAAGTCTTCTATAGGCATATAAATAATAAAAGGGTGCTAGAGGAGGAGTGTGGATAACTCAGGACCGTAAAGGGGACTATGCATGGAGGCATTGCTGAGGTATTAAATTGATACTTGTGTCTATCTTTAGCAAGAAACAAGATGTTTTTCAGGTTCTGATGAAATAGGAGGCAGTTCCAACATTTTGCTTGATGCATTCATGGGATATGGGGGTTGCTGGCAAGGCCAGTATTTATTGCGCATCCCTAGTCGCCCCTTGAGAAGATGGTGGTGAGATGCCACATTGAACCCCTGCAATCCATTTTGCTTAATTACTCCCACAAAAATATTAGGGACGGGTTTCCAGGATTTTGACCCAGTGACATGGAAGGAAAAGTAAACCATTTCCAAGGCAGGATGGTGTGTAGCTTGCAGAAGAGCTTACAGGTGGTGGTTTTCCCATGTAACTGCAGCCCTTGTCCTGCTAGATGTTAATGATTATAGGTTTATTACTGTCTAACGAACCTTGGTAAGTTACTGCAATGCATCTTGTAGATTGTAAACTTTGCTGCTACTGTGTGCCAGTGGCAGAGGGGGTGAATGTTCGACGATGTGATGCTGTTTAAGAGGTTGAACAATTGCACAGAGACTAAAAATAAAGTTCAGATCTGTACACTTAAATAATGCACAGGTAAGTTTCAATAGTTTTCTCCAGGTATTTATTTCACATTATTGAATTTTAAAAAGGTATTCATCTTATCTGTTCCTTAGTAGTCCAATCATTCTGTGTAAAGTAGTTGCCTCTTGCTGCCCTGTTTCAATGTTTGACTCCGTTTCAGGAGGTAAAATTTCACACCTTTATATCAGTTTCATTTCTGGGCTGTTATGTTTACTGTATGTGTGGCAGCAATGGGTTATCCAGACCATTCACTTCTGAATTTAAGGTCATATCTTAACCCCTGTCCATTGTCCACAGTGCAGTTTCAAAGTTCCTGGTGCCTTAATGCTGCTTCACTTTGTCTTGTTTGTTAGAGTCTACACAGACTGTTCAGGCACTTCAGTATTCAACAGTGGATGGTCCACTAACTGCGAGCAGAGAACTGGAAATTAAAAATTTAAAAGAAGAAGTAGAAAAATTGAAACAACAAGTATTAGGTAATATATTCAATTTTATGTTGGGATTTGCTATGTTGGTCGAATTATGTTGCTGTTTAATCCAAGAGAATATTCTGAAAGTGCTATGTGATATGGCAGAATTGTGTTTGTTTTAAAGCAAATTCATAAATATACTTGAGTTGGAAAAATTGTAGTATAATAGGGAAAGATCAGGGAACTGCAACTAGTTGGAAAGCTCTTTGAAAGAGCTGACACAGGCAGATAAGCAGAATTACTTCCTTCCATGCCATGCAGTTGTACAATTCTGTGATTTTGATACTTTCTTAGATGATAAGACACAGGACCAGAAGTAGGTCATTCAGCACACCGAGTCTGCTCCGCCACTCAGTGAGATCATTAGTTGACTTGATAATCCTCAACTCCACTATCCTGCCTCTTCCAAATAATCCTTGATTCCCTTACTGACTAGAAATGTGTTTCAGCCTTGAATATACTTAACAACCCAGCCTCGACAGCTGTCTTCTTTAAAGAATTCTTTGTATTTAGGGTGGACAGTGGGAGCCTTTTTCCTCGGATGGTGATGGCTAGCACGAGGGGACATAGCTTTAAATTGAGGGGTGATAGATATAGGACAGATGTCAGAGGTAGGTTCTTTACTCAGAGAGTAGTAAGGGCGTGGAATGCCCTGCCTGCAAAAATAGTAGACTCGCCCACTTTAAGGGCATTTAAATGGTCATTGGATAAACATATGGATGATAATGGAATAGTTTAGGTTAGATGGGCTTCAGATTGGTTTCACAGGTCGGCGCAACATCGAGGGCCGAAGGGCCTGTACTGCGCTGTAATGTTCTATGTTCTATGTTCTATAAAAGTCAGTTATGAATTTGCTTTGATTTTCTGCTGAGATAGCTTCATACTAGAAGGGGCTGTCCACAACTGTGTCTCAGCCAATGGAAGGTCAATTCAGTTTATATATTTACCAATCTTAAGATAAAGAAGTAAGAGTGAGTCAGTTACTCCCGAATCCCGCTGCAATTTTCAGTAAAATCGTGACCGATCAGATTGTTGTTTCAAAATCCACTTTCCCACTGGGCTGCCTTGACTCCCTTGTAAATCAGAAATGTCTTATTTAATCTTGAATATATTCAATGGCGCAGCCTCTGCTACTGAAGCATGATGACCCTCAGGTTAAACCACCACAGTCATCTCTCTCTCTCACTCTCTCTGTCTCTCTAGTGGGAGGGCAGTCAATGATCTGGTTGGATAATGGTTACTTTATCTGTTTGACTCTTTGTGAAAGGGAATTCTGAAGATTAACAACCCCCTTAAAAAACAGATCCCTTTTCATCTCAGTGTTAAGACCCCTTACTTGGAAATGGTGCCCCAAGTTGTAGATTACTCTACAAGAGGAAGCATCCTTTCAGACTTGCCCTTCAGAATCTTGCATGTTTATAAAGAATGCAGGGAGTCAGTGGCACAATGGGAATGTGTGACTTGACCAGTCCAGGCTAAAGTTCATGGCAGCAGTTAGAATTTGTATGCAGTTACTTACAAGAGAAATCTGAAATTGAAAGCTCAGTCATTGTGGCTATGCAATTATAATCTTTGACCTAAAACCTCATCCATCCTTGCCTGGTCTGGCCTACATATGATTCCAGATTTGCAGGTACAGCCCTAAGAAATGAACTGTCAGGCTATTCAATTCAGGGGCAAATAAGGATGAGCAACAAGTGCCAGCCTTGCCAACAACACCAAAATCACCAAATTTTTTGCCTCTTATTCTTTTGAACTCCAGTAAGCCTGGCACATTCCCACTTTATCATTACCAACAAACTGGGGAATCAGTTCTGGTTCAAGGAGAGAATGCCAGGTGCAGCATAGATCATATATAAATGTGAGATGCCAGTTGGGTGAAACTACAACACAGGACTGCTTGCATGCCAAAGAGTGGAAGAACGCAATAAAGCTAAAAGCTTCCTCAAAACCAACAGATTAAATTTAAGTTCTACTTCCAGTCGCAAATGGTGGTTGTCAACTAAACAATGCACTTGTTGAGGAGGTCCACAAATATTCCCGTACTCAAATTTAGGAGAGCAAAGGTGAAGCATTTACAGCCATCTCCAACCAGAAGTGCCAAGTGGATTATTGATGTTGTCTTCCTCCCAAGGTCCCAGCATCACAGATGCCAATCTTCAGCCAGTTGATTCGTGATATTAAGAAATAGTGGCACGAACTGGATACTGCAAAGATTATGGGCGATGATAACATTCTGGCAATTGAACTGAGACCACTTGCTCCAGAACTAGCTGCAGCTTGAGTCAAGCTGTTGCAGTGTACCGGCATCTATCCGTCCATGTGGAAAATTGCATAGGTACGTGCTGTCCTGATAAAGCAGGTCAAATCCAACATGGCCAGCTATTGCCCTATGTGTCTGTTCTCAATCTATCGGCAAACTGCCAAAGGTGGTCGTTAACAGTGCTATCAAGCCGCACTTGTTCAACAACATTCTGCTCACTGCTGTACAGTTTGGGTTTCACTGGTGGCACTCAGCTTCTGACCAGCTTTAGACTAATGCATGGACAAAAGAACTGATCTCCAGAGGTGACAGTAAATGATCTTGCATTTGACCAGGTATGGCATCACGGAACCCAACCAAGACTCATTATGAATGTAATGGTTGTGGTTGTTGGGTGTGAGTCATCTCAGCTTCAGAACATCACTGCAGGAGATCTTTAGGGCAATCTCCTAGACCCAACCATCTTCAGCAGCTTTATCAATGATCTTAATATAAGAACATAAGAACTAGGAGCAGGAGTAGGCCATCCGGCCCCTCGAGCCTGCCCCGCCATTCAATAAGATTATGGCTGATCTTTTTGAGACTCAGCTCCACTTACCCGCCCGCTCCCATAACCCTTAATTCCTTTACTGTTCAAAAATTTATCTAGCCTTGCCATAAACACATTCAGCGAGGTAGCTTCAACTGCTTCACTGGGCAGGGAATTCCACAGATTCACAACCCTCTGGGTGAAGAACTTCCTCCTGACCTCAGTCCTACATCTGCTTCCCTTTATTTTGAGGCTATGCCCCCTAGTCCTAGTTTCACCTGCTAGCGGAAACAACCTCCCTGCCTCCACCTTATCAAGACCTTGCCTCAATCATAAAATCAGAAGTGGCCAGTAACGTTTATGCCACACAGGTGCCAGTTAATAACCATCTCTCGCAAAAGAGTATCTAACTGTCTCCCCTTGATATTCAATGACACAAAATTCTTGCTACTGCAATTCTGTTGGCTACCATTTACCACAATCAGAACTGGTCCAGCTATTATAACTGTTGTGGATACAAGAGCATGTCAAAGCGTAGGGGTTCTATGGTAACTGTAGTGATTGAGACCAGGTTGACCTTTTTAACTATGAAGTTCTTGATGGGGGTTGTTAACCTGGGCCAATCAGGAAAGCCCTGGCTGACCAATATAACCAGGAGATTAGAATCTCCTCAGTTGAGGATTGATTCCGAGCTGGTTGGCCACAGCCAGTGTACTGTGCAGTAGTAAAGAAGCGGTGACTTGGTGACAGGACCCAGCCTCTGTGCAGTTATTTCAGTGGCGACAGGAGAATACAGGATGCGCCTGAGGAACATTCGCGTACAACTGTCATCATGGAGTTGGGGTAAGCATTTCTGGCATCATGACTCTATTTGGGAAGCTTGACTCATTTGACCCTGCTGTCGAAGACTGGGTCTAGTATTTTGAGAGAATGGGATACTTTTTCCAGGCAAACTACATTGGAGCAGATGAAAAGCAACAAGTAATCCTTCTGACTGTGGACCCGCAGCGATTTTGGTTATACGGGTCTTTGCTTTCCCAGAGGCACCAGACAGTAAAACCTTCCAAGAGTTGACAGAGTTGGTTAACGATGTTATGACCCCAAATCTCCTCTAATTTTGAGATGCTTTCAGTTTTATTCAGCTGTTAGAAAACCAGGGAAGTCCATATTGGGATTTTTGGCAAGGTTACAATGACTGGAAGAGGCATGTGATTTTGGGTTAACCCTGAATTAAATGCTGAGAGATTGTTTGTTATGTGGAATTAGTGATGGAGCCATGCAGAAACGCCTACCAGCTGAGGCCTAACTGGACTTCAAACAGGCAGTGCAGTTGGCCTTGTGATTAGAAAATGCGGCAAATGTAGCATGGGAACTACAGGGCATTCCTATTGTCATTTAAGGTGTTGGCCCACTATGATCTGAAGCTAGAAGTAGCGCTGACATGCGATGCCTCCCCATATGGCATTGGGGTAGTGTTGGCTCACCAGTGGCCCACCGGAGAGGAACGCCCAGCAGCGTATGCTTCCCGGACTTTGGCTGATGCCGAACACATGAATGCCCAGGTAGAGAAGGAAAGTTTGGTAGTCATATTTGGTGTGAGGAAGTTCCGCAAATACCTTTATAGACAGGAATTTATGATAGTCACAGATCGCAAACCCCTGCTAGGGCTACTGAAGGAAGACAAGGCAGTGCCGCCTGTAGCTTCTGGTAGAATTCAGCAGTGGGCCCTTAGTCTCAGTGTGTTCAAGCACAAATTAGAACACTGTCCAGGAAGCCAAATGGTTAATGCCTTCAGCCGCCTCCCACTGGCAGATGATACTCCATCGATGGTGCCTCTCCTGGAAGAATCCATTTTGGCTTTCAACTTTCTGGACACTCTTCCAGTCACCCTGGATGATATCCGACTGTTGACACACAAAGAGCCTGTCCTAGCGAAGCTGAAACAGCTGGTGGTAAATGGGGGAAACAGAAGGGCCATCACAACAAGGATTGAAACTTTTTTGGATCCTGAAAAACCAGATCACTGTAGAGGACAGCATATTACTGTGGGGGAGCAAGGGTGATTGTCCGAGTAAAGGTCACTGCCAGATACTGGCTAAACTCCACCAGGGTCATCCAAGATGAAGATGCCGGCAAGAAGCTATGTCTGGTGGCCAGGGTTGATGCCACCATAGCTACATTGGTGGGCAGTGCCCAAAGTGACATCAAAGACAA